AGCAGTCACAGGGGTCATGGGAGCCCCATTTTCCTTCAATCTATCCACCGCCTGTCTTACTGTGTGTTGCCCCTGTGAGATATGTGAGATCTAACTTTGGATTAGTGACAGTACTAATCTACTGTCACTTCTTCACTATACACCACCCTAATGTTTATAAAAAAATTAATCTTTTATAAAAGTTTGTTGTACACAGATTGATTGGAAATTTAAATACTTTTGTTTTGGAAATGTACTGTATTAACATCTTAGTATATATTGTATTATTTTATGCATGAGAGGCTACAAATGCAAAGCAAAAAAGTACAGAAGTGCAGGGATGAAAAACGCATAAGCACTGGCTTGTTGAATATCACCACACATTAAAATGTTGGTGAGTGAACAGTAGAAAAAAATAGAGCAAATCAGTTATGGTACCTCCTCCATTCTTGTAAGTCAGATATGGGAATCTCCAAACATTTCCCAGTCCGACTGCATATCCAATCATTGACAGCAGGTAGTCGGTCTTACTGGACCAGTTTCCTCTTTCCACATTCTCATCATTTTTATCAACATGATGATCTTGAAAAAGATTAGGCTTTTCCTAAAAGAGAATGAAAAGGAGACAATGGAGACTAAATGTACACAGAGTAAAAGGAAGGAGGCCAAAACTGTACAATGACATAGAGAAACACCAGCAGGAGAGATGTACAAGGTTTTGGGCTCCATGTTATATAAAGAAGCAAAACAAAGTCCAGAGAAAAGCTTAGGTGGATACGTTAATTCTTTGACTTATATATCACTTTTCTTAGTAATACATCTCAAAGAATTTTACAAGTAGTAAGACATCCATGTTATCCACTACTGAAGTGCACCCCCCACTTGAGTGACATGCAGTAATCGGTATGTAGTAGGATTAAGAGAACTTCAGATAAGCGAGATGGTACAAGACCAGAGTGATATCCCAATGATAACATCTCTACATTTAACAACAATGCCACTGGTTCTTTCATGACAAAGTAATAACACCTCATCCCTTTGGTGGCATGTCCCATAGTAAAGTGTCCCCAGTCACTATATGGTGGCATTGGAATGGAAATTGTGGTCCAGAAGGAAGAGTGTCACCTACTGTAGCAAAGTGTTGTCCACAACTTTCAGCAGCAATCTGGTTTTCTCTAGATGTCTCCCATCCCAATACTGACTAAGCCCAACCTTGTTAGTTTACAAGATCTGACAAATTAGGACAGACTGACATAACTTTTCTAACTCAATAAATGGTGGTCCAGAGGATATATAAGATTAGCCTTAGGAGACTGCAGTGACATAATGGAATTATGAACATGTTGCCATAGTTTCCCCAAAAAAATGTAGTGACAATACATTGTTTCAAAACTAGGCCTGTAGCAGGGAAAATGGTGAGCACTGCATTGAATGTTCTGCATTCATCAATATTTTCTTACGTTGCCAAGTTAAGCATTGAACAAAATAAAAATTATGGTATTAAATTTGTGAAAAGCAAATATCCTTCTCTAATTGATGATTGTTATAGGATTCAAAGCTGCATGTAAATT